GGTATTGGAAGAATTGGACATAAATCTGCTTAAAAATCTTGTACCATATACAAAAATTAGTACAAAGTGTATGATAAACAAATAAAAGACAAAAAATTTAAAACATCTCCAAGAAAACAGAAAATAACATTTTTACAACCACAACTTAAACAAATTTATTAGATATAACACCAAAAGGACAATCCATTAAAGAAAAAAAAATTGATAAGTTGGACTTTATAAAAATTGAAAAGTTTCACTCTGAAAACTAAAATGTTAAAAGAATAAATAGAAAAATCATACTGGGAAAAACAATACTGGCAAAACACACATCTGACAAAAGACATATCCAGAATACAAAAAAAGTCAAAATTAAACAATAAAAAATAAACAAACAGCATTTTAAAAAAATTAGCATAGGATTTGAACAGATACTTATCCAAGAAGACACATAGATGTCAAATTAGTCCATAAAAATATTATCAACATCAACATTAGGTCATTAGGGAAGTGCAAGTTAAAACCACAAGGAGATACATTACCATTACACATCTATAAGATTGACAACTACCATTTAACAGAACAAAGCAAACAAACAACCCCAAACATCTGATAATACTAAGTCCAGGCAGAATGTGAAGCAACGGGATCTCATATACATTGTTGGTGGGAATGCAAAATGTTACAGCCACTGAGGACAAGAGTTTAGCAGTTTCTTATAATGTTAAATTATTATTGATCCAGCAGCACAACTCCTTGGCAATTATCCAAGAAAACTGAAAGCTTATGTTCACTGCAAAACCTGTAACCAAATACTTATAGTAGCTGTATTGTAAATGGAAACAAATTGGCATCCAGCTGATAAACAAACTAGTTAATGAAATACTACCCAGTAATAAAATTGAATGAACTGCTGGTACACACAACAACATGGATGGATATCCAATACATTAGGTTAAGAAACAGAAGCTAAGCTTAGCTGGTGGGTCAGATTACAGTTCAAACAGAGAGAAAGACTCAATAGGGGTTGGCAGAAATCTTGAGAAGCTTGAATGGAACTTGCCTGTCCTATACAACCCCCAGAAATCCTGGTCAAAAAAACGACTATTCACCCCCTCTTGCTGTTCCTCTTGGCTCTCTACTTCTTGCCTTTGCTGCAGAAACTGGTGACCAATATGGTTCCTATAACTGACAAGACTTCTGTTCCTTTTGCCTCTCCTTGTAGGTCTGAAGATGGGTTGGAGCCATTAGGCTTTCACCCAGATCTCTCCTCTCGGTTTTCATAAATAAACAAGATTAGAGGTTAGGCCAATATCCCTCTCTCCATAAGAAGGGAATAAGAGACCTTAAGCTGAGGTTAAAATTCAACAGAGAAATAAAAGAAAATTGCACGTGTTAAGCTTTTTAACTACCCATTCACAGATGACTGAGTCCCACACTCACTGACACCAAAATGAGGATGAAACATGGAATACTTTCTGTTCTGAGGTAACCACCAACTGGACCCTTGTTCAAACTCAACCTTGAGATCCATCAGGCATCAATAAACCTTCATTGTCACGGTCCCTATTGTATTAATATATTAGTAAATGTATTAATTGCATTAATGATATTATTGTTTTGTGTATGTATATATAGTGTATATATAAATAAATAATTAGCTATTAGCCTGGCAATTTTGGGGGCAAATAGCCATTGGCAAGGCTAGGACCAACATATGCAAGCTCCTCTGTTAGGATGAGACATTTGGACAGAAATCTGTTCTGTTCCCAATACGCTTTCTGTTACCCATGTGGATGCTCACCAGAGAGGTCCTATGCTAACAAGGGGAACCATAACCAATGAGCTGACTACACTTGTCAACTAAGTGCAGAGACAAAATTGTCCTCTGCCACAGACAAGTTGATCATCTCCTTGACCCATGAGAGGATAGCCCATAAAAATTCAGACAACATCTTAGAGTGGGCCTGCACATATGGACCACCTTTGTCATCAAAAGGCACCAAAACAGCATGAAAAGCTGTCCTGCCTATCAGAACCTGGCTAAGACTAAAAGCACAGGCCATGGACAGATTCCCAAGCCTATGGGCCAAGATATTATTGAGCAAAAAAGTCCTCTGGTGCTTTGGACAAAAGGTCTAGATAACAAATAAGTAATAATTATTGGCAGATGAATCCCATTGCTCCGTTCAGAGGATCTCTTTGCATTCTGACTGAAGTTGACACTTTCTTTGGGTTTGGCCATCCCATGCACTCCACTGACTCAGCCCACACTATCCAAGCTCTGCAAAAAAACTTTTGATCTTTTTCTACTTTTTCTGAGCATGTTGTATCTGACTGCCCTGATTTACTGCCCAAGCTGTACATCAGTGAACCCAATCGTAAGACACAGTATTGACTCTTCATGTTCCATATCACTACTAGACGTGATTGAAAATTTTAATGGACAATTACAGGACAGGTTTCAACTGCTGATGGGACAGAACAAGGCAAGGTTGCATGTCTCAGGCAAGCAGTCTCAAGGCAGTAATTGTCCAAATAAGTGTTTCTCATTTGCTGTATTTTTGACCAGATTATCTTTCTCTTCCTTAAATTGTATAACCTTCTTTTACAGTTATGGATATCTTGGTTTTCATGGGGGATCTTGCTAGGGTCTTCACTTTTCAAAGACTTAAATAGATGGGAAATTTAAATGGTTCTTAAACAGCAATGGGTGGGAAGTTATGTAAACTTATTTTGAAATCCTTTAGAAGTGTGAAAATTTATGCCTTTCTGATTAAGTTATATATGCGTGTTTTTCTGTAAAAATGCTTTTGTACCTCTTAAATACAACACTTTGGACAAAATTTCTAGATAATAAATAAGTAATACTTATTTTTATATATAAAATGTTAATTACTTTATAAGACACACTGATAACAACAAACTAAAACTCTGACACCTGGGGAGACATGAGAGAGGAGAAAGATATTAATAATTAGATATTATTTATTGTTAATATTTGTTTTTCAGATGTTCTCTCAAAAGTTTTCCCTTTCTTCTAAAAAAAGAAAGAAAACACAAACAACGTTAAATACACACACACACACACACACACACACACATACACACACACACACACACACACACAACTTCTCCATTCTACTTTTTTAAGCTGCTGAGAATTTTTCATGAAAAATGCCCGTAGATGACATTCACACTTGTACGACTGATAGACTAATGTCACAGACAAGTAGAACTGTTTAAAACTTACTGCCTCAGGCAGACCCTTTGAAACCAAGGACTAAACTCAATTATTTGACTAGACTGAAACCCCAGGGTTGCAGGCCTCATGATAGGAAGCCCACTGGGAGCCCTGTTAACCTGACTGCCTGCCTAATGCATGCCCTGTTTGGGGTGCCTTCACATTGTGAACTTTGTTTTCAGGGAATTGTACATGTCCTCTGAGAGGATACTTCCTGTGTGTGTACCCTGACCTGCCTGAACCCTGGAAAACCTTTATGTCACTTACTGGCTGAGTTGTGCTGTGCCTGAATCAATGCCCCACCCAGGCAGGTAAAAATGAAGATTCATATAAAAATAGAAGAAAAAAGCCTATTGACCCTCTAGAGCAGACCCTAGTGGGCTATGGGATGTCTTTTCCTTGCTTGGTAACTACTGGGACTCATGTCCCCATTAATTCCTCTAGGTAAGCCTGAACATCTTATTTGAAATGATCATGATCACAGTCTTAGTCCATTATTGCCTCCAAGTCTTACCTAACTCAAGTCCTTGGGTGGTAACCTATGTTTCTCACTCAGGTCCTGAAAAATCACAGGGTGCAGCTTAGGAGTTCAGCTTTTGATTAAAACCTAAGTGTGGGTCGGGCTCGGTGGCTCAACCTGTAATCCCACGCTTTGGGAGGCCGAGGTGAGAGAATTGCCTGAGCCCGCGGGTTCGAGACCCACCTGGGCAACTTGACAAGACCTCATCTCTACAATAAATAAAAAAATTAGCCGGGCGTGGTAGCGCGTGCCTGTAATTCCGGCTACTCAGAAGGCTGAGGCGGAAGGATCACCTGAGCCCAGCAGGTCGAGGCTGCGGTGGCTGGGAGTGGCCACTGCACTCCAGTATGGGTGACAGAGTGAGACTCCAACTCAAAAAAAAAAAACCAAAAAACAACTAAGTGTGATTGTCCAGGCTTGAACATAAGCAATGACAAAGACTTTACTTGGCAAGCTCACAGGAAAGCATCCCTCTCCACACAGACTTGGTGCACCATCCGTGCACTACAGCCTCTGAAGGGAGTTGTAATCAAGGGCTCAGACTCTCCTGCATATTTATATTTCTGGCCCCAGAGCTTTAATCCTAAATCTCTTTACCCCAAGCTTTTGGCCAAGGTCCTCTTCATGTGTTTCTGCTTGGTCTCCTTTTTTGGGGACGAAGGGAAAATCTTGAAGATGAGTTGCCCTACTCTAACTCAAGCTACTACTTTTCAACTCATAGCCCTCTTCCTCCTCCCCTTGCCCCAGGATTCATAAATTTTTTGTTTGGGGCTTCCCATGTCTGTACTGATCCACCTGACCCCAAACCCATGCACCAGTCCATGGGGGAGAATGGAGCACAGGGGAGTGGGCATTCTCTCCAGTTTTAGCCTCTTGCTCATATCATCACAGAAAGTGACTTCACTATTAACTTTCATTTTGTCTCCTTGTTGATCTGATTGGCTACTCCATCCTCTGGCAGCTCAATACTCTCAATACCCTCTCATCTCTACTGAGCCCTTGACCTACATACACGAAGTGCTTAAGAGAAGGGGCAAAGATTTACATACTATCTCCATTTTCAACTTCGCATAGAGATGACTTTGACTAATTCCTGAGAATAGAGACATTTTGCACTTCTAAAGCAGTTTGTTATTATCTTATTGTGTTTCTTACATCTCTATTTATTTCCCCAAAATGATTGGTGCTAATCCTTTTAATAGAATTAGGGTGTCATGTTTTGGCAAAATCAATGTTCTACTCTGCAGAGGTTAATACGTCAATTTGAAGTTTATCTGTTGGAAACTGAAAGGAGAAATGAGCTGGCCCAGTCCCACTGGAAGAAAGGAAACAAAACATAAAAAATTCACAAGGACTACAGACTGTTCTGTTAGAGTCAATATACTGGGACAAAATTTTTAGTAATAGACTCTTCTGATAAATCTGATTTCTCTTTATTAATGATCTTCCTATCTTACTAGTTTGTATGTATTTGGCTGGGTCCAGAGACTGGTATGTGAAATTGTGTCTTTTTGGGTCATAATTAATTTAGAAAACTGTGAAGTGTGAGCAATAGTATCATTACCAAGTACAAAGTCCTAATATTCAAAATGTCATGGATCAGAGAAAAAAAAAATATTATCACTGACTTCTAATCCTCTAAGTGTTTCTCCTTCTCTCTAAAATTAAATCTATTTATCCATTCATGTAATCTCAAATATGTCTCCAAATATTGTCATTTAAGTCAACAGAAGGAGCACTAGCTACATGTGCTCTTCCCTCTACCTACTAGGCAATTTACTTTCTCCTTAACACATGACAAGCCTAATTTTGAACCCAGGTGCATTCTCCTCTTACCTCTAGCAGAGACAATAAGGTCTTCTCCTTTTCCTGAGTTTGTGCAATTTAAGTTCCCTCAGTTCAACAGGAAGGACTGTTATACCTGTTTCTAAAAGTTTCTTGGGGAGATTTCTCTATTGGGATATTTCCCGTGATAACTAGGGAAAAGAAGCAATTCTATTTCCCTATGGCCTAATTAATAGCAAACTTCTTCTCTGATCTTTTCTCATTAGTTCATCATAGTGTCAGAAACTCCAAGAGTCTTAGTAAAGTATAGGCTCCTTTGATATATTTGCTCAAAAATCAGGATGTTATATTAACACACATTTCTTATAAAGAATTGCTTTCAACAGAATTAAGAATTTAATTTTCTTTTTACTCATCTTCCCTCTAAAAAGGTAGTTAAAATTTTCAAGGCCTATTTATTTCCCCGAGAAAGACATAATTCATTGAGTTAACCTTGTAGATTAAGGAAAAGGTAATGCTATGGTAAATTTTGTTTATTTTGCTCAAGAAATTCCTTTAACATAGTTCTAAGTATAGAACACTATACCACTTTTTTTTTTAAATTGGAAAATATAGTTTATTTAGGAAGTAAATTAGAGAGAGAAAGAGAGAGTGATATTCACCTCTCCAAGGTAGGAGGAGGTAATGCCTCATTATTTTTAACTAGTACATACATAATTAGTTCCAGTGGTATTGATGTAGATTTTAGCATAATGTAAACCAATAAACTCTCTATTCTCCCTCCCCCCAAAAAAGAAGCACAATTTTCATTATATCCATGTTCCTAGCAAGGTGGAATTTCAAAAGATGGAATTTCTTTCCCTCCTCCTACATTTTTGAAAGGACGTAACATGGATTTAATATACCCAACGAGCAGTCATTTTAACATTGCCTAAATCTCATGTCTTTCTAGCAGTTCACTTAACTTACTCTCTAATCACTTGTTTTACAACACCCCTCCCCAACTTGTTTTGTACTAAATAGCATTTCTATTTCAAGTATTTGCCTCCACCCATAAGACCCAAGTTAACCTAATCAGTCCTTCATGATCTTCCTGATACAGACAGACCTCACAACCATGGCAACAATCATCTGACTAACCCATCCATCTACCTGCTGACCATCACTTGACATCAGTACCTGTGCTTACCTGCCCCTACCACCCAATCACCTTAACAACCTTCTCCCATCAAAGGAAAGGATTAGAAGAATTCAACCTCAAGCAGCCAGTCACCATTGCCTTGCTAAGCAATGCTGTGGCCATGTGCTCTTTGAGCTATGACCAGGTCATGTTTTCCTAAGCTTTGGCCCCTTCTCCTAATTTGGAGAATGAATCTCCTTTCTCTCTCTCTCTCTCTCTCTCTCTTTCATTTACTTTCTAAATAAACTATATTTTCTAATCTAACTGCTGTGCAATTCTTTGCAACTTTCTCTCTCTCTCTCTCTTTCATTTACTTTCTAAATAAACTATATTTTCTAATCTAACTGCTGTGTAATTCTTTGCAACTTCTCTCTCTCTCTTTCTTTCATTTACTTTCTAAATAAACTATATTTTCTAATCTAACTGCTGTGCAATTCTTTGCAACTTTCACACAGCGCTAGATCACACAACCTGACCTCCAGTGGGTGTGACCTAACATTTTGGAGGCCCTGCTGGGATATATATTTTAACCTAACATTTTTGGATGTCCCGCCAAGATCTGATGCACTCTTGCTCTCTCTCTCACTCGTCTCTTTCTCAGCCTCAGTCTCTCTCTGTGAAGAGAGACCAGGTTTGTGGATCCTGTATTGAACAGACCTCTCCCTGTCACCTCAGCCTCCTCTGCTGTGAAACTCTGTCTTCACTGGTGAGTCCATGCGACACCCCATCCCCCACTAGAAGGTTGGAAAGCAGGCCTGAGGAGGCTACTATATCGCCTGTGTACTGCCTTGCCCCTGCCTGTGTAGAAACAGCCTAGCCATTGCCTGTGTCTCTTTTGCCAGCCTTCTCAGAATTGCTCCCAAGACCAATCCCTCTCTCCATGTACTATTCCTTGCTTGTGGTCTTTGAGCATGACCTGAGCGGACACTTTCTCAGCTTGGTAGCTTTTTGCTGGTGCTCCAGCCCTCTGCAAGAGTCCCAGTGCCAGGTTTCTGAACGTGCATGGGAGCAGTCTTACCGCTGGCCAGAAGGTCTGCTGCCAGTGGCATGATGGATACAGGGAACACCTTATCTCATTCAGTTCTCACTTCCTCATCTAATTCCACTGACTCCTCTGTCCAGGATGCCAGCTGAGGACATGGATGGTTTTTTGTCTTTTGAGTCATTCAGAGACCATTCTTAAGACCAATTTCTTTCCCCTACTGGAATTATTCCTCATGGTGAGTCAGGGGCCCTTCTGAAAATGCAGAGATAAGGGGAAATAAGTTACTTACTGCTTCTTTGTGCTTTCTCCTTTGTGGGCTTTTTACTTTGTTGGGCTACATGTTTAAACTTTTGACAGAAACCAATCAGAATAGTAATCATGTAAACCAGTCAGCAAATAGGACATGTAAATGAGATGATTATGTAAAACCAATCAACAACTAACATGTAGGGCTAACTGTAGTCTGAGCTATGAAATACCCACTCAAAATGTATGGTGCCAACATGCCACCTTATAAGGGAAAAAAGGGGTTACAATGTAAAGGGGACATTAACAAAGGTATATAAAGCAATGCCCTGCTGCGTTAGGAGCTCAGCCTTTGGATGTGACTCCACTGAGTTGGTACCACCACCAATAAATGCTGCTTCCTGGCAAAGAAGCCTAGGTGTCCCATCTCTATCTGAAAGGTTCCCATGACAATGGAAAACCCAGAATGGGTTGGTAAAGGGCCCTCTCCCCCATTGAAAATCATCTTAGGACCTGCTTACTAAAGGGGAACATCTGCCCTAAGCATCTCCTCAATATCGGCTAGACTACCAGGAGATGGGTCCAAGACAGATCTCTTGCCTCTGATACTCTCCTTAAACTTGACCTTTATTGCTGCCATGAGGGCAAATGGTATGAGGTTTTCAAAATGGTGCACTGCCCAGATCCCTTGTTCTTCCTGTGGCATGCTCCTAACTTCTCCTTTAATTACTGTATCTCCTTCCTGCTTTCCTTCTAACAACTCAGACACTGACCCAACTTGTTTAACTCCTCCTCTCTTATAATCTGCTTTTGTCACTTGACCCTCCATCAGTTTTCCCTTCTGCTCTTCCTTCTTGACTCCACCTTTACCTGTGGAAGAGGGGCCTATGTCTACCACTGTGATGCCTGACCCTAGCCTCCAGCCTTCCCCTTCTTCCCTCCCTCACTGTCTCATAACCATGAGTGGCAGCCTTACTAGCTATCACGTGTGGTGCACCCCCCTCAGGTTTCCACCATGACTTAGCCAGTCTCCTCTGGGAGGTAGCAGGACAAAAATATATTAAAGTTCATGTTTTTCTCTAATTAGATCTAAACTAGGACTATCAAACAAAGGGATCACGTGCTAATTAATTAACTGAAAAACTTCAATTGCCATTTTAGTCTGCTTTTCCAAATCAAACTTACAAGTGCTCTAGTAAAATTTTACTTCCAACCATATCATGTGCTGAAACATTAGTGCTAGATAACACTATTGTTATGTCAGGCTTTCTAATGTCTTTTGGAAAGAAAGTTAAGTCACTTTACTAAGCCTAGTACTTCTGCCAGATGGATGAAGTATTGGGTCCTCTGTGTGGGCACAATGAGAATGGGAACTGATCACTCCCATCAAATTTTCCGCACCTCACAACTAAAACTGTAGTTTAGCAATTTATAAAGGACTTTAACAAATTTGCCTGTTCATAGTTCGAATTAAATAAGGACAGATAATTTTGCATCCATGTGGTCTGTTCACTCTAAAGTTTTACATCAGACAATTATAGACAGATAAATGGTCAAAAGTTTCATATATATGGCCAATTAAAGAAGAACTTTCGAGGGTTTTTTCCCAGCCAAGATGTTAAAGGAACAACAGGGTGCCAACATGGAGGGCTGAAGAACCAGAGGGTCAAAGAGGCATCCCAAATGAGTCACCATCAGAGACCTGGTAAGAACAGTCCAGCTAAGGGGATGTTATTTGTTGCTATAGGTATAATCCGCAGGGGGCACTAGAAGCATAGTTGCCCCAGAGAGGTCTAAACCTCCAGGACCTTGTCCACCATGCAGGCCAGAAAGCCATTGAAAAGCAGGTACACTCTCTTCCAAAGAGAGGAAAGAACACCTAGCTCAGAAATGGTGGCCACTTAAGGAGGCCTGGAAATCTGCTGAGGTGCCTGTCCCTGGCTCACCATCACCCCAACAACACTGCAGGGGAATATTAGGGTGCTAGAACCCAAATTGATTTCTTAATTTAACACAGGTCATCCATTTGGTTCTGGTCATTCATATTAGCCTTATAGCCTTATCTTAATCCAAAGCTACTAAAGGTTAAATGTAAAATGTTATCTATAAAAATGAAAAGAAAGAAACCAAAAAGCAAAGGAAAGATGTAGAAAGTTGTTGGTATAAAAGAATGTTTTTGATAAGGAAGGATATAAAGGAAAGAGAATAATTTTGTGTAGGAGAGGATCTTGTATGGTAAAGTTTTGTCCTATAATAGAATGGCAGGTTATTTAAAAGGAAGGAAAGTATAAGACAACAATAGAAGGTTCAAGCATGACAAAAAGAAGTATGAGTATGTTGAAGATGGTATGTGAAAAGAAATGTGTGAAAGAAATTCTGTGAACAATCAAGTTTACGAAATTTTAGTGATTTCTATGAATTTACCATTAATATCAATTACACTAAGCCTAGGCCAAAATGCTACTCAAAGACCATAACAACCTCCAAAAGAATTTTCTTCTATTAGCAACAGAGAGGGAAGGAAGAGACAAATTCAGTTAGCCCTCCTTCCCAAGTGCTTGTTGGTTTTCATTGCTTAAGATCTCCCTTATTAAAAAGTGAAGTGGTTTTTTTTTTACTTTTCTTTTCTTTTCTTTTTTTGAGTTGGAGTCTCACTCTGTCACCCAGACTGGAGTTCAGTGGCCGCTCCCAGCCACTGCAGCCTCTACCTGATGGGCTCCGGCGATCCTTCCACCTCAGCCTTCCGAGTAGCTGGAACTACAGGTACATGCTACCACACCGGTAGCATAAGGCTCATTTTTTATTTATTGTAGAGATGAGGTCTCACCAAGTTGCCCAGGCGGGTGTTGAACCCGCAGACTCAGGCAATTCACTCATCTCAGCCTCCCAAAGGTGCAGGATTACAGGCTGAGCCACCGAGGCTGTAATTTTTTACTTTTCAAAATCTTTAGACTATCACTTGCTAAATATGTAATTTACAATGACCTATAATCCTATGTTATAAAATTATGCTTTAAAAATCTTTAATACTTAAACTCTTCAAGTTCTCAATGGGGAAGAAACAAAAGCTTCAGGAACCACACCTACCCCACACCCTCCTCATGAACTGCTTGTAGATCAGGTGAACTGTTTTTGTAAGCAACAATCATTGTAAAAACCTAAGATGGTATCTCAGCCACTCACAGTAGTTTGTCATCAGCTATAGTGCTTTTCAGTGCCTAATTGCTAACAGCCTTAAAAATCTCCTTCTAAGCACAAGGGTTACTAATCTAACATAAGATGGCTAACAATAGGACTTTCTGTTTAAAGTATTACTAATTATTTGTGTTAAACTTTAAAGTAATATTTCCCCATCAAAGGCAGAAGGCCAATGCCACCCTTCCTCCCATCAAAAGTGGAGAAATGTCAATCTCTCATTTCTCTGGAGTGGTTACCTGGGATCCACCCTTTAACATATCAATCATTGTGAAGGTATATCAGACCTATTGTTAAAGAACAAGGAACAGTTTTCTCTCGCCCCGTTACCTGTTTTAAATTCTCTTGTTCATTATTATTTCTTACAATTTAAACTACAGCTGGGCTTGGTGGCTCAGCCTGTAATCCCAGAACTTTGGGAGACTGAGGCGAATGGATTGCCTGAGCCCGCAGGTTCGAGATCTACCCAGGCAACCTGGTGAGCTCTTGTCGCTACAATTAAAAAAAAAATAGCCGGGCGCAGTAGTGTACACCAGTAGTTCTGGCTACTTGGAAGGCTGAGACGGGAGGATCCCTGGAGCCCAGCAGGTCGAGGATGCAGTAGCCGGGAACGTGCCACTGCACTCCAGTCTGGGTGAAAGAGTGAGACTCCAACTCAAAAAAAGATAATAATAATTTAAACTACAATCTAACTACTTGTCTCCAAACTAATATTTTCAATTCTTTTCCTTCAGACTTTGTCAAAGCAGCTGCATTTCCTTGTTAAAGTTATGATTAACAAATCTCTTATAACTGTCTACACATTCTTCAAGTTTCATAAGAAAAAGACAAGCTGCGGGGACATTCATATATGGACTAAGGAATTCACTGTACAACAGTGAGAACCGCCTGGACTCCTATTGTGGGTGTCAAGTCCACTGGAGTAATTATAAATACATTTTACCAGACACCAAGGCCTTAATATGTCATAACAGTGGCTATAATGGCTTTTATTATAGTAGTATTAATTCTAATAGTATATACTTGTACATAGTGCTTTGTACAGATGTTAAAGATGCTTAGCAACTCCATCGGGCTTCTGTCCTCTCATCATTTCCTCTTACTCTAGACAGGTAGGGACATGTCTACACCCCTATCCAGCAGGAGGCAGCTACAGAAGCCTAACCTTCATCCCTGTTCCCAGGTACAAATAAGACTATTTTAAAATAACAAGAGGGAGAAATAAAAGGACATAACATGGATTTAATATACTCAATGATCAGCCATTTAAAAATTGCCTAAATCTCTTGTTTCTCTAGCAGTTCACTGAACTTACCCTCTAATCACTAACCAAGAACAGAACCAGTTTTTCAGAGGTAGCTATTGATAATTGTTTTACAACCCCCCAGCTTATTTTGTACTAATTCGTTTTTCTCTTTCAAATATTTGCATCCACTCATAAGACTCAAGTTAACCTAATCAACCCTTCATGACCTTTATGACACAGACAGACTGCCATCATGGCAACAATCATGTGACTATCCCACCCATCTACCTGCTATCCATCACCTGACATCAGTACCTACACTTACCTGCCCCTTCATGATGATGTGGAGCAGATCATCACCCAGTCACCTTAATGGCCTGCCCCTGTCAGAGGGAAGGATTAAAAGGATTCAACCTCAAGCAGCCAACCACCATTGCTTTACTAAACTCTGGTGTGACTATGTGCTCTTTGAGCTATGGTCACTTCCATGTTTCCTAAGCTTTGACCCCTTCTCCTACCTTGGAGAGGTGAATCTCTTCTCTCTCTCTCTCTCATTTACTTTTTAAATAAATTGTATTTTCTAATCTAACTTCTGTGCAATTCTCTGCATCTTTCATGCAACACTAGATCGCTACCCACATCCCCAGCAGGCCTGACCTAACATTTGGAGGCCACGCTGGGATATATCTTTAACCTAGCAGTTTCATTTTGACCTGCTTTGGCCAAAACAATGTAACAAAAGAGACTGTGTACCCATTTTGAGGCTAGTCCTCAGAAGCCCAAGTACACTTTACTCAACAACCTTCTGGAAGGTAAAAGACCACATGAACAAGAGTCTAATTATCTTAGCAAATGTTGTCCTAGTTCAGCCAACCTTGGTCAATCAGTTGCTGACATGAATAAACCAGGGCTAGAAAATCACTCATTTAGCTCTAGCCCAAATTTCCAATCATGACATTAAGCAACAAACAAATAAATTCTGTTTTAAACCATTAATTTTAGGGGTGACTTGTTTCATAGGAAGAGATAACACAAAAAAGTTTCTTAAATCATCATTTCTACTTCTGCTTTTATACCAATCCAATCTACTATTCATACCACACCAGGAATTTTATTTTAAGAGTATGATGTCTTTAATTCTCGTCAATGTCTTCACTTGTAGGTTGGGTTACACTTGTAGGTTGGGTTAAATCTCAAAACATGACCTCCAAAATTCTACATATTTTGCCTCTAACCTTCATCTCATGACTCTTGCTCACTGTGTCCCATGCCTACATTTGATTCCTATAAGCCACATACCTACATTTGGTTTCCAAAATGCACCCAGCTGTTGTGAACTCAGGACATTTGCACAAATTATTTATCTTATATAATTTTTTCTGACTGAT